GTGTCTGATATCATGATTTGAGGAAATGGTCTTGGAAAGAATTGAACCAGTCATCTGATCTGATCCACGCTCTTTCCATTAGCTTGCCAAATTATATATTTTTGAATAGCTTTCCCTAGATGGTAAGGGCCATAATCTGGTTCTTTCTTCATTTTTCAAAATTTCAAGTTGGCCTCACTTTTCTACAAAAAGATCCACATAAACCCATGTGTTTATGGCCTTCCTTTTACTATGAAACAATAAAGCAGGAAGTCATGTGGGGCTTTGACTCATACCAAAAGGGATAAGGGCTAAACATGAGGAAGAAATTAAATGAGGCTCACCAGCCCCTGTGTTTTGATTCACATGATCAAGTATGGAAACAACCAAGATAATTAACTGGGAAGAGGTCACTTGCTTCACACTGTCCCTTTGTCTATTAGAATGGACTTCAGGACAGGTCCTTTGAAACTTTAGAACTTAATCTCTGCTTGCCAAAATCTCTGAAGTCTACACAGAATTATTAGGTTGAGTCATATGAGATTGCCAACATTTGATAATTGTTCACCTATTTAAAATGAATATGGCTCAACCTATAGTACAAATGTTCTTAGTCTGTTTTCTGGTTTCCTTAATTAGGCCATAAATGAAACTTAAAGATATTTCTCAGTTTTCTAAAGTTGTACACAACTGTTTACTGCTATATGCTTAGGTAACTTCATTTCTTGGGCACAGAAGAATTCCAAAGGTCAACAAATTTCTAAGGAATCTATACTTTTCAACTCATCTCAAAATAAGGATACTGATGAAGTCAGAAGGATTCAGATCTTACAGTGGGAAAACCTAAGTCCCTTTTCTCTAGCATTTGCCTAGAGGGAGCCACCAGCTCTTACAACCCTCAATTCTACTTCCATAGTTAAAATCTTTGTAGCAAGAGGATGCCACAGTTCAAAAATCTCAAGTAGGAATAAAAGCTTCATGAACATGGTAGAGGCTCCAGCAAATCATCCACACTATGTTTGCAAACCTGAGGTTCTCCTGGCTGAACCCCCCTTCTCTTGGCCAAAGGTCCTCCATTGCCCTCTAGAGTTGCTAAGTGCCATAGATGAGTGAGAAAGGAAAAGCGTAGAAACACAGCAACACAATAACCCAGAACATCTGGAAACCTCAGATAAGATTCCTCTCAAATTTGTGGTATAGTTTCAGGATCTGCTATGTGGTGACCACCGCAAGGGTGACCTGGAAGTTGACATGCTTGGCTGGGGAGCAGAATGAGTGTGTCTGGGCCCAGCAGACAGACTGGACGGGAATTTCTTAAGATCAAGCAGTTCTTCATTAGAGACACATTCTTTCAGTCTTATTCTTCACCAGGGGCCAGCAGTTAGATTGAGTAGTTAATGTGTATTCTTTGAATGAAAAATCAACTCAGTATTTGGGGCTGACTCTCCCCAGCTATTGTATGGCAGTACCTAAATCAATCCTCTTAATCCTCTCTCTGTCTCTCTCTCTCTCTGTCTCTGTCTTTCTCTGTCTCTCTGTCTCTCTCTCGGTCTCTCTCTCTGTTTCTCTCTGTGTCTCTGTGTCTCTCTATCTCTCTGTCTCTGTCTCTGTCTCTCTTCTCTCCTCTGTATGTCTTCTTTCTCTCTTTCTTTTCTCTATAAATCTGTTGTCCATTAGCTCTGCATTTTCTCTTTGTTGCAAAATACTTTGTGATGCATGCAAGGAGTTAATTTCTCTGGCAGTCCTAACTTGGGACCATTTCTTAGACTTGAGAATCACTTGATTTTCTGGAAGATCTTATCTCTTTTTTGACATCTAGCTATAGGTTTTATATCTTGTAAAGGACATGTTAACTTTATATTGCATCTGTAATGTATAAAAACAACTAATAAAATGCTATAGATAAAACTAACAATGTTTTGACTTCAGAGCATTTTGGATCTTTCTCTTAGGGCATGTTAAATGATAAAATTATCTATGAAGAAATCTACATGTAAAAATGTACAGTGGTACATTTGTGCCCACTAATGAGCTCTCAGTTATATGGCTAACAAAAATATTGAGTTCCAATTGCTTTGACTAGAAAGGGTACTGTGAGGCACAAGGTGATTGATACTAACAGGTTCTAGCTTGCATTTGAGTACCAACAAAGTACTGGTCCAAAATTTTGCTATCCAAATGCATTGAGTTTTAATGAGTTTTAAAGCAGTCAAATACCAAGAGATGAATGTATTTTTATAGATTCAATTCATAAGGGAGAATTACATCATATACTAAGAATCTCAAATATTGACAGTTTCTGTGAAACCAGAAGCTAAAGTACCACTTCACATTTCTACAAACATCAATCTTAAAACGCATATTTCACATTGCAGCCCATAAATTTTAGAAAAGCATAATTCTCCCTCTATACCAGAATGTAAAATTGCACAGTTTGCTATAGAATTATATTTTTTCAGCTTTTCTTCCTACAGTGTAGGCTGGATATAAAGTGTTTCCCCTTAGCAAATAGGAATTATATAATAAACAATGCCCCATATGGTCACATTACTTCCTTGAAACCATGTGTGATAGGCCACATCTCTATTGTCAGTTATGGGAAGGGAAGCCCAGGACCAGACAGGATAGATGGGTTGCTTGGGTTTAGGTAGCTAGTGAAGATTGATCAAAGAGCCAAACCACTAAAGCTTCTGCCTGATCATCAATCTTCACTAACTACATAAACTTAAGTTTTCTCATCCCTGCTTAGAGTAATGATGCACTGATTTGGAGTCATCTCTGCTTTACAGGTGACAATGCAGTAGTTATGTGAAGGAATTTACACTTTCTTTTGCTTATATTTGTTGCTGTGAGATACACTTCTGGTTCAAGTAAAAATGAATCATGGCTATCTTTGTCTAGCCCTGTGAGAAGAAATAGGCTAGACTCAGTGTCCCATAACTTGATCCTTTGTCTTTCTTTGCTTTGTGTAGTCTAATATTCCTATACTTGTGTGGCCTTTGTATGTCTTACCTGTGGTTTTCCTACTTAACCCCTGGACTAGAAATCCTGCCACAACATTGCCTACAAATCATAGAGAATCACAATCAAATCAAACAAAGATGCTACTATCAGAGGAAGCAGTCTTTATCTATAGAAGTGGTTTTGTATTTAGCGAGCTGCAGAATAAAGGGGCATATTGTTAAGAGTTGCAATGAGTTGGGAGCTGTGGACATGGGCCTTCAGAATAGAGAAGCCACTCTGTAAGAGGTACCTCTCCTAACTAGCTTCAGGTGGGTGGTGTCTATTCTGGGCCCTGGCAGCAGGAAGACTGAGATCTCCTGTTCCTTGTTAAAACCACCCCACTCTTGAGGTCTGAGGCCCATTGAGGTAAAGCCACCAGGTGCTTGTTTGGACTTTGTCTGTTCATGGATCAGGAAATGTGCCAGAACTTTCTCTCCATGCTCAGGTCTCTTTTGTGGTGTATGAAAAGGAAGAGGTTATAGGAGTTCCCAGAGGGCTTTGATGTCATTTGCTGCTGGAGTCCAGAACTTTGAGTTCGGCTCTTGTTTTCCTTAGGATGTATTTCATGTCTAGCCCACACCCACTGGGGACAGAGGACTTCATATTAGAAACTGAAACTTATGGTTGGATGTTTCTTAAGTTATGAAGGAATATTTATTACTTCAAAGAGTAGAAATGAAAAAAATGGGGAGCAGAAACCATAAAAAGTGTGGCTTGTCTTTCCCTCAAAGGAAAAGAGAAAGAAGGGAGAGCTGTGCTGCCTTGACCACTGTAAATCATAAAATCACCCTAATTAAGCCAGCAGCACAAATGGATACTCCATAAACACACTGCCAAGGCTCAGGAAACACCAATCTGTGGATGAGAAAAAATTTTCATTAAAATAGAAAACATGCTTTACGCTCCCTCTTTCCATTTTAGAGGAGGCCCCTGCCATTAGATGTTTTGCTGTGTTTTTATACTGAATAAATTTCCTGGGGCCACATCACCCTTTAACCATGATAAAATGCCAGAAAAATGTACCTATGACTTTGAAAGCCAAGACTCTGGTCATTAATCACAGATGTAACATCAGAGAAAGTTGGGGACTATTCTCAATAGAAAGTAGGGGTAATGTTAAGCTCTAAGAAATCAAATCAAAGTAAATTATCACATCATATAAGTCCAGTATGGAAATAAACACTGGATCTTTAGCAGTGGCTAGGAGACAGGCTGTATTTAATTCTGGAACTTTATGATTTTTTTTTATGAAACTGTTCCCAGCGACAAAGTTTTCACAGTGTATTCTGTACATCTGATGTAGTTATAATAGGTCTAATCATACAGGAATATTCCTTATAAATAATGGAATTTTCCTGTGCCTTTAGCTTGGTTTGTTTACCATATAGGATCAGAATATATAAGCTTGGGGTGCCGGGTAAACCATAAAAATAAGCAGTATTTTAGAGTTCAATCTCAGAAGCAATAGACTCTGCAGGAGCCTCTCTTCCATGTTGTATGTAATTCACATGCTAAATGAGAAATTCTGGAAAATTAGGGGCAGGTGTAAATACAGAGGTGAAGATTGACAGCTAGAGGTGAAAATGCACAGCTTCAAAGAATTTGGTCTGTTAACTTGTATATTGGCTCAGTGTTCATCTTGTTCACTTCTCTGTCTTTAGTGAAACCAGTACGTTGAATGGCTATGTGGAGGCTTAGTGTCTCCACCAATGTTCTCTGAGTGATCTTTTGGGAAATTTAAAGAAAGAAATATACAAATTGAAAAAAAGAATTTGAAATAAAAACAAAACAGTACACTAACCAATTACATAAAAAAGCATCACGTACTTGGTCATTGAAAATCATCTTCTTTCCCTCTTGTTATGACTTTTTGTGTGACCTTCAATACTTTTCTGTGCTGACTCCCATATTTTTCCCATCTGTTAATGGCAAACTCTGAGAGAATCAGGCATGGTGTGGCACATGCTTTGATTGCTTATAAACATAACAACTCATGCATATGTGTGCTTATGCCTTAGGTGTGTTTTAATAGACCTGGTGTTGCCACAGCAGTTTTCATTTTCTTGACATCCGATGGACTGGCCCCTGGAAAGCATCAGCGGCCAACAGTGACTCTCTACCTGATCGATGTCAGTGGAAGCAACCACTCTCTTGGTGAGTCCAAGAATGATTCCTTGAGAATGATTAGAGGACAACCCAATAGATCCAAGAGTCAGTTTGATGTATCTTTCTGATATTGTTTGGGATCTCTTATGTATCACATAGCTATAAAGAAAATAAAATGGCATGGAGCTAGATGAATAGTTAAAAATGTTAATTTATCTCTTTACTTCTCTCCAGGGACTTATGAACTCTCATGCCAGCATAACCCACTGGTTATCAATGTGACCTCTGCCTCTGTTCTCACCCACCATACCACCTCCGTGCTGCTGAATTTCTCATCTCATTTGGTGGGCATCTCAGCGGTGGCTCTAAGGACATCCTCCCATGTCAGTCCTTCAGCTCCCAGTAACTGCATTTCAGAGGCTGAGGGACAGAAGCATCGGGAACAGAGGTACAAAGTCCCTTTTCTTCATTTCTTTCTTCTTTCTTTTTAAAAATATTTTATTCATTTTAGTGAGAAAAAAGATAGCAATAAAGCAGTTTCAAAACAGTTTAGTAGGAAAGTTACAATAACTAACATATTGCATATTGTTGTCTTCAAAAGACAAGCTGCAGACATGATATCTTTTCTAAATAGTATCTGTACAAACCATTCTTCTCAATGAACTAAGAGAAAGTAACTATATCTATCCTCACTATTGCCTGACCTTGTCAGATAGCAAAAGTTACACTTTTAGTTATATAGATCTTTTCTTCTTTTTATTGTGATTATAATGTACTGCTGTCATGTAGATGTAGTAACTATTATGATTGCTTAATCATTCACTGGAAAATGAACTTGGAACTTACTAAAATGTCCTAGGAAGCAAGCAAAGAATAATCCGTGGAAGACATGTTGGGTTTTATATTTTGCTCTTCTTTCTTTAACTGAGAATAATTTTTATGTAAATACTTAACAGCTTTACAAGATCTTAACATCTTTTTTACATATAAAAGCACTGACTTCAAATCAACGTTGTTTCATAAACTGCCAAAAATTCTTTGCCAAAAACTCAGTGTTCCCTCCACAATGTATATTTTTCCACTTGCTCTCACCTGGACAGTGTAGACTGCAAGTTTACCAATTACTATGAAGACTTGTCACGAACTCATTTATGGTTGTACATCGAAATAGGCAACATGGTAACTGCATGTGCTTTTCTCTGGAAATCTATGATTGTCATCATTTAGATGCGTGACAGTGAATGAACTCTTAGAAGCAGATAGTACAGGCAGTGTTCTTCACTGTGTTGGTGTGCCCATGATCAGCGATGTGGAACATTCCAAACTTAACAATCTCTAACTACAGCTATGGAAGACTTATCTGTCAATGATCTAACTAAGTGAATGAATGAGCAAATAAATTTCACTCCCTTAGAGGACAAGAACTGAAGTGACTTCTTTAGTACTAGGTGATCAGGAGATCAGGATTCTAATCACAAAAGCTGAGGTTTCAGGAAGAAGTCCAGGGCCATCATGCTTAACCTAAGTTTACCAGAAACCCATCTCCCAAAAGGATAGGGAACACACAATTTTAATGGAGTATACATAAGGAAAGTGTTTCTGTGGACCAAATTCTAGTGGCTTAATACAACCAACATTATATCACAGTGTTTTGGGGTGAGGACTCTATGCAGCTCAGCTGGATGCCTCTGGCTCAAATCTCTTGTAAGGTTTCAGTCAAGCCATTGGCCATTGTTATGGTTCCTAAGGCATGAAGGAAGTTGGAGAGTTCACTTCCATGCTCATTTGCATAGCTACTGGCAGCTTCTGAAGATCCTTGTACAAGCTCACTCCCATAGGCACTAACAGTGGATCTGCTCAAGTGGGAATGGCTCAATTCCTTGGCGCATGAGTCTCTCTTTGTATTGAGTGTCTTAAATATAGCAGCTAATGAAGGAAAAGAAAAGACTAAGACAGAGAAAGAACATTGTGTGTATGATACAGGGCCCGAGAGAAAAGCCAGTTTTTTTGTTTTTGTTTTGTTTTGTTACAGAACAGGGGATTGAACTCAGGCCCTTGTGCTTGCCAGGGCAGTGCTTATTCCACTGAGCCATCTCCCCATCCCCTAGTCTTTTTATAACACAATGTTGAAGTGATAGCTCATTAATCTGAAAGTCTATCCATTAGAAATGAGTCGGTAATTCCAGCCAATACTCAAAGAAAGGGTTTGCATAAGGACACATATTACTGGGGTCCATTTTAGAAGCTTTCAATCACGAGCAGTAATAATAGTTTATGTTCATTGTGCACCAACTATGTGTCAAGTACACCATAATATAAGTGCCAGGGAAAGAGAAGAGTAAGGCATAAAGTCCAGATGCTGTACATCTTGACATTACCTACTTCATCTGCAACTTACATGTTTTCTTAGTGAGCAAATACTTCCAAACATTAATGCAAGAATGTAGATTCTTAAAACAGCATTCTTTATTAGAATTATTGCCTCTCCCCCATGTATTTTCAAATTATTTCCTCTACTGGTTCTAACTCTGGCCTTAAGCCATACAGAATTTCTTTCAGGTCCCTGAAACATGTGTTCTTGATGAGCTTTGCACACAGTGTTCCTACTTTCTTGAATGCCTTCCAGTCCTTCACTTCAACTCATGCTCCACGAGCAGCATTCACCTTCTGTGAAGTTTTGGCAAACTCTCTGGCTGTGTCCATAGGACACAATACATAACCCAAATCCTACAAAGGTCACTATCTCACTGGGTTACAAATATTTCTTTACTTCTTGTTCTTTCCCATTAAACTCTGAGTTCCTTATGGTGGGAGTTCTGCTCAGGATCTCTCAGGAATTAGTAGAGTTTCAGGCACATAGCAATTACCAGGAACTGTGTGTTGAGTGAGTGTTTCTGACTTTATCTTTAGCTGCTCTGCAGAACAGAACTAAAGAAGCAAACAATCAAACTTGAAGTCACCACCTCTTGAAACTACAGGCCCAATAATTTCACTCACCATCATAGCTGTGAAAGTTCAGCAAAGAAGTTAATTAATTATGATCACTGCTGGTGGTTCTTCACTTATGTTCATGTGGCATTTGGGGAAAAACAAGTTTTATATGCATGCATGCAAACCAGTGGAAATAGGATATGATTCTCCAGTTTACACAAAGTGTATCTGGAATGCATAAGCATTTCCAAACCACATGTGACTGACAGGAGCCATGCAAATTGGTTTTTCTTTCCCAGCCAGAAGATCAGTGCAATATAGGACAATTTTATATACAAGAAACTAAGAGATCTCATGTATGTTTGTCATGAATATATTTAAAATCTGAATCCTTATGTACTTTTAAAAATAGAAGCCTTGTGTCAATCACAGTTGTATATGTAGATACATCATTAATATGAAACCCTCAAATTCTGGGCATGGTGAAAGAGATTTCTGGCTACCTCCTTCTTACTCATTATGACTTCAATTCCATTAATACTTACATGGGCAAGGGAGAGCTGACAGATGCTTGGCAGTAGAAGATTTTATGTTTAACTATTAATGATCATTGGCCTGTTCTGCCTACAAGTCTACATATTTAGCCAACATGATTGGTCCAAAGGAATCTCAGATCAAAGCCAATAAACTTAAGCCTTCTTCTGTAGTAATAATCATGGTCTTTGTGTTGGTCAAAGTCATTTCTTCCTGCTTCTTCCCCGAATATCAAAAATGCAGACAAAAATACAAAAACTCTTATCAAAACCAAAACCTAGGTCCGAATCTGAGTGTTGGTTAGAATTTCTTTTTATTGCAAAATGTGTGCTACAGTTAAATTAAGCAACATCATATGCTTATTGTGTTCTGAAAAATATCAACTAAGTAATCAAACCCTAATTAAAGAGAGGAGGACCACAGATCATTCTTCATTTGCTGGACCCTTTGACTTTTTTTTTTAGGTGAACAATGATATTATTTATTTAGGTTGGAAGTCTGTTCCACAGACAAATCCAAAGAAAGGAAGACCAAGATTTCAGGGTTGGATCATTTTGAGTCTGTATGTCTATCAAGCACTCAAGCCAGAAATCCACTAGAGCTGTCTGTGTGCTTCTGTTCTGAGACAAAGCTTGAGCTTGATATAATTGAGAATAAAGCTCTTCAAAACAGATTATTCTGGGGTTCAGAAGAAAGGAAGAAAGAAAAAAGGAAGGAAGGAAAGAAGGAAGGAAGGAAGGAAGGAAGGAAGGAAGAAAGGAAGGAAGGAAGGAAAGAAAGAAGGAAAAAAAGAAGGAAGGGAAGAAGGAAGACTCTTAGCTTTGATGTATCTCTTAGTTTAGTTTCCTATTCTGGTATGATGGCTATCCAATTTATGATCCTCTGAGCTTAGCACCTGGTCATGGATCCCTAGGTCTTGAACAGTAAGTTCAGTTTTGCTGCTTCTGTCCTTTGGTGCTCAACATGAACTCACACCATTCTTAGTTTCCAATTGTTTCCCCAGATTTGTCCATTTTAGTGAACAACCTGTAAGAGTGTCAGGATCACATTGATGTCCAACTATGTTAGGATTTTTTGGACAATCTTAGGGAGTAGAAGCCATCTTTTATGTTAAAGTTATGGGATTTGGAGTATATCTGAAGAATCCAGATGATATGTTAATTTGCCTAAGTAAGTAGAATAGCTTTCAGATAATCAGTACTCTTTTTGTTCTTTTTAAAAGAATAAAAAATAGTAAAAAAATTAGAAATTTCATAATTTAACTAAACAAAATAATAGGACTTGCACAATGTTTGTTATATTGCATAATGATGTCTTCAAATTAATTGTTCAGATTACCAGATATAAGCAAGCAAAATTAGTTAAAAAATAGTTATAAGAAATTTAAAGGGGGCCAGCCACATAGCTGGGCCAGCCAAATAGCTCAGCAGATTAAAGTGCCTGCAAACAGGCACAGGGGTCAGGGGTTCATTCCCAGGGCCTGCCATGCTGGCCCCACCCCCCAGGGCACACTGAGACACTGAGTGTGGTGTTGCGCTCCTGTAATCCCAGCTCTTGGGAGGCTGTAAACAGGTGAATCACTAAGAGTCCAGTCTAGTAGTGAGACCCTGAACATCCTGTGGACCCTTCCCTAAAATACAAAAAAAAAAAAAAAGAAAGAAAGAAATTTATTTTTATATTAATTTTGTTGAGAAAAGAATAGCATTGAGATAGTTTCAAAACAGGTTTCCTAAAACAATTAAATTTAATCTCTTGTACTATTGTAAAATTCTTTTTTTAAAAATAATTTTATTGAGAAATAACAGTGAGACGGTTTCAAAACAGATTCCTAGTACAGTTTCAATAATTAATACATTGTATAAAAACAGATTCCTAGTACAGTTTCAATAATTAATACATTGTATATTGTTGTCTTAGTGGTTATTCATTTTACAAGATGCAGACATGATATCCTGTCCATAGACACTATTAGAACAAATCTCT